CCCCAAAACCCCAAAACCCCAAAACCCCAAAACCCCTATTTTCACTTAAAAAATTGAAATTTTATTCAATATTACAAATTGGGCACTTTTTGATATACCTCGCTTCATGAAGCCTTCAGTAATACCCATGGCTCTTTCAATAAATACTGCAAGCTTTGCAAATTTTACACTTTACGTTCATCGGGTTGTTGCAAGTGTTCACAGCTGGCTCAGAGAGACAGATGTAGCATAGTTCAGATCGACGATAGATAGGCTGCATTGTCTTGTCTGAAAGTCTATTCAGGGATGACCATACATACTCCTGATTTAAATACTTATCCTTAAAATCAAAGCAAGCTGGTGCCCATTCTTGATACTTTAGGATCATAGTTTCATAATCCTTGAACAATTTGAGTAACTTGTATTCTTTGAACATCTTCTCAACACGCTGCCAGATGTCATGAAGCTCGAGCTTCTTTTCAGTTATGGCCTTCCTAAAAATCGAGAGTTCCTTCTCAAGACAATATTTCTCCCTTTCTTGATAAAAGTCTTCGAAATCATGCTTGTACTCCATGAAGTACTTCTCTAGCTGCTTCGCTCTGCCCCCATCTAAGTACTTTATAAGAGTAGCGTAAAGTCTTTCCACAGGAAGATGGAGCTCATCCAAGGCGTAGACATCACTTTTATCAGGCAATTCAACATATCAATCATTTCAGAGGAATTGGATAAATGGGTACGAAAATTTAGTAACTGGCTGGCTGTGGCGGTCACATAATTCCTTAGTCATCTTCATATCAAGCCATTCGTCCCTCAAACGTGCATCCTTACCTTTAAGGGATGGATAGCTCTTAGACGATCGACTTCCTCCAAGGGGCCGATTGGGTAGAGATAAATTGTCAGGAACCAATGTTATATCGGCAAGCCTTTCTCGAGCGTACCTTTCCTCCAAGGATTCTCTGTCAGGGTAAAAATATGAGAATATTTTACCCTTCTTATTAAACTGATCTAGCTCATTTTTCTCGTATTTAAAGTCTTTAGCATAGTTATAATCATCGCTTTTCAAAATTTTCTCTGCGACTTCTCTACTCTTCGAAGGACGATATTTGACCAAATTGTCAATAGAATCAAATCTCTGTTGTTCATTGACAGAGATAGAGACTCCTTCAAGAGGATCATGCTTGAGCTTCATCTGTCTTTTTCTCAATTCAAGTTCTTTCAGACCTGCTCGCTTCCTGCCTAACTCTATTCCACTGAGATAAGTTGGTTCATAAGGAAGCTTAATTATCACTATGCTTGGCGAAAAATCTAAAGTTAGTACCATTTTCCTACTTGTCTCTTGATGGTGGCGATTTAACCGCATGAGACTTGTATATATTCGGGTACGGGCTTGAATAATCCATAGATATTTCAATAAAAATTATATACAAAGGGGTTTTGGGGTTTTGGGGTTTTGGGGTTTTGGGG